GATTGTTGGCAGGCCTACGGAACAATTCGTCATAACGGGAAGGGTATATTCTGTCAAGAATAGGGTTTTAAACGTCATCATCTCCCCTTTATTAGTTCACAGTTACATCAAAGAAAGCATGACCATCAGTCGTGGTTTAGAAGTCAAGATCATTAATCTTATTGCCTCTTTGCCAAAAAATAACACGACAAACTAATATTTATAAGGAGAAAGTAAGAATAGGAGATAATATTGGACAAATCCATCGACAAAAACTTTTAGCTTTGCTGGACAAGTACCAACATTGCTTTGCCTCTTCTTTAAAAGAACTAGGGTGCACTAATGTTACCGAAATGACCATTAATTGAATAGTAAGAAACCGATTTGTTATCGACCCTACAGATTATCGCACAAAGAGCGAGAAGATGTGAGAGAGATGATTAGTGAAATGCTAGATGCCGGAATAATAAGTGAATCAATATCAGAGTATTCAACTCCTATAATTTTAGTCCGTAAGAAAGATGGAAAAATGAGAATGTGTATATATTACAGGATGTTAAACTTAGCGACAGTAAAGGAGCGTTATCCTATGCCTTATATTGAGGATGAAATCGCGAGATTGGAGATGGACAAGCCCACTTTGTAACACTTGATTTAACATCAGGATATTATCAGGTCCCAATATCAAAAGAATCCCGGCCACTAACTTCATTTGTTACACCAGATGGTCAGTATGAGTTCAACCGTATGCCATTCGGCTTGGCCAATGCCCCGGCTGTGTTTCAACGAATGATGAATCGAATCCTTGGTTCAACGCGAGCAGAAGGAGCAACAGCGTATATGGATGATGTGTTGATATATGGTAGAGATGTAGAAGAATGTCTGATACGATTAGAAAATGTTTTACAATTATTAGAAGGGGCAAACTTGACTCTTAATCTAGCAAAATGTGAATTTCTAATGGACAAAATAGATTACTTGGGTTACGAAATAAGTGCTGCTGGAGTACGGCCGGGCAGTAAAAAGATTCAGTGCGTGCTCGATTTTCCCTACCCTATAGATCAACATACTGTGCGGCAGTTTCTTGGTCTTGTGGGGTACTTCCGGAAATTCATCAGGAACTTCGCTATCCTAGCTAACCCATTAACAAAGTTATTGACTAAAAACGATGCACGATGGACCTGGAACCATGAGCAGGAGGAAGCTTTCAAAAGTTTAAAAGACAAATTAGTGGATAGACCTATCCTAGCTATTTATGACCCAACAGCAGAAACTGAGTTAACTGAACTACACACTGACGCGCTAACTTACTAAGTTCGGTGTTGGAGGTGTGTTATTTCAAAGATCATGCAGTAGTCATAGTTTCAGGCCAGTGGCTTATTATAGCCGAAAGACTTCTCCTGAAGAAAAACATTTCCATGCTTACGAACTAGAAGCACTGGCCGTTGTCTGCTCATTAAAGAAGTTTCGAGTATATCTATTAGGCCAAAGATTCAAAATAATATCAGATTGCAATGCTCTCCGCTCTACTTTCTCAAAGCGAGATATTCTTCCTAGGGTTGCACGATGGTGGCTTCTAATGCAAGAGTTTCAGTGCACAGTTGAATATCGCCCTGGTGCAAGGATGACTCACGTGGACGCCCTGTCTCGCAACCCAATATCGGATGACGAAAGTTCAGAGGTTTTAGAACAATACCCATCGGTCATGACTATAAGCAACGAAGATTGGTTACACACATTACAAATGGGCGACACAGAGTTGTGCAGGATTCGAAATGTTCTTTCTTCAGATATGGATGTGGAGGGACTTAAATATATTAAAGATAACTACTTAATAAAAGACAACAAATTATACCGATATCTAGATGGGAACGTTAACAATATTCGTTGGGTGGTTCCAAAGGGTGCAAGGTGGCAACTTTTACGCATGAATCATGACGATATAGGGCATTTTGGCGTTGAAGACATTGGAACGTATAAAAAAATCATATTGGTTTTCAAAAATGTCAAGGTTCGTTAAAAAGTACGTGAAAACATGCGTAGAATGTGCCTATGCTAAGAAAAACAAATCTACAAAAGAAGGATACTTATACCCCATCGAAAAGTTTTCATACACTGCACGTAGATCACCTGGGACCTTTAGTTAGGTCCAAGCGCGGCAATACCCATCTTTTGGTTATTGTCGATGGATTCACTAAATTCGTATTTGCTAGGCCGGTACGTAACACAAAGACTCAAAATGCAATTCGGGCTCTTGAGGATATTTTTTATACTTTCCGCATTCCCGATCGCATTATAAGTGATAGAGGAACATGCTTCACATCACACACTTTTAAACGGTTTTGCCAAGACAAAGGTATAAGACACATCCTCAACGCTGTAGCTTGTCCCCGATCAAACGGTCAGGTTGAAAGATACAACCGTACTATCCTTGACTCATTAACTGCACAGAATTTAAATTGTAACGAAAAAGAGTGGGATAACACAATTGGAAGAGTACAGTGGGGATTAAATAATACATACCAAAAAACTACTGTTAGAACACCGGCCGAAATTATGTTTGGTACAGCTATAAATTCCGAAGTCAATCCTAAGTTCAATGAAGTTCGTCAAGAAACTCGAGAAATAAACGATCTAGCCACTATTCGTAAAACAGTTAAAGACACTATTGACACTCAACAGGAAAAACAAAAACTGAGATTTGATAGGGGACGACGTCCCGCCAAGGTTTATGCTGAAGGAGAGTTAGTTAAAATAACGAAAACAGCTTTTACAAATGACAGTAAAAGTAGGAAACTTCTTCCTTCTATAGGTCCATATCGGGTTATATCAGTATTGGGAAATGATAGATATAAGGTAGCAGCGATTCCGGGACTAACGGGTACTAAGAACAAACGACCAACTACTGTAGCCGCTGACCGAATGTCGCCTTGGGTCAATGTTGCTGCTTTAGATGTTAATATATCAGATACGTCCAATGATGATGGTGATGAGGATAGTAATAGTGATAACTAATAAAACCAAGAAATTCTGTTATTACTTATTTTAAATTGTTATCTCAGTTTGTAAAATTACATCTAAGCAATCCATAAATGCACAGTTTTGAACCATGTTATCTATTAACAGTTTTTTACCTAGTTCCTTCTAAGTTTCACGTTAATAAATATTATGCTACAATAGTAATGATGTATATCGTTAAATCAGTACAACCTAATATATATGGATAGATAATAGAAAACTAAGATTTATATGATTAAGATCTAGAACGACATAGGTGTTGAGCATGGATATCTGTGAGAATGGATGGGTTCAGTTTATCGTTTTACTTGTGCCGGTTATGAGAATGGATGGGTTCGTAACCGGGCCAGTGAAGTGTTCTGCACTGTGTTCGTTTGTTAAATGTGTCCTGTTCGTAAGAATGGATGGATTTACTAATGGGACTCATTTGGAAAACGTAATGGGTTATCAAAATTTATGTTAACTTCGAAATATGTTTTACTTGCTTACTGGGAATGGATGGGTCCAAAGAGCAAATATATAAAGTACATACCTAAAGCTGTTGTTAAACTTTTATTTTAAGATGTACCCATAGTATTTAGCTATTTTCGACTTTTTCTAATTCCTTTTTATTTCTTTTCATTTGTAAGAAATATGTACCTAATGTAAGTTTTCCTTTAGTTTTTTTTTTTTTGTAATTTTATTTATTACTGTGAAATTATTTGTATTTAAGCCCCGTGCAACTGACCGAATGTTAGGTTTCTTTTCAACCGTGCATGAGGACATGCACGAAGTCAGGATGGACGAATGTTAGGTTTTCACTTGGCAAATTGGCAAATATACACAACTTAGATATAGGCCTATAATTTTTTACATTAGAACGGTCGCCGCTTTTATGTATGGGCGTTACGAATGCTGATTTCCAGGTCATTGGCACTATACCTTCTTTTAAAGAACGCTTGAAAATAATGCATAGAGGCGTAACCAAGCTATCTACGCACTGCCTTATAAAAAAAGGTGTTATACTATCAGGCCCAGCGCCTTTATTCATGTTAGTAGTTTTCAGCAATATTTCAACCTCCTTCGGATTTATATTTATGTCACCAATTCTAATATTATCTTGGCACTGATTATCAAGATTAGGTTTACGGCTATTAGCGACGGGAACGAGAAAAGTTGATTGAAAGTATTCTGAAAATAAATTACACACCGATTGTCCAGTATCACCAGACTGATCCTCATATGTCATAACAGATGGTAGTGCCTGGGAGGGCTTTCTTTCAGCCTTTCAGCGACTTTGTGTAAGACCAAAAAAGACGTAGGTTATTTATTACCGAGTTTTCTACTTTACTTATGTATGACTGATATCACTCACTTTCTAATTTTACGGCTCTTTCTCTCAGAAATGAGTGTCTTTCGTAATCGTACCGGTTACCATATTTTTTATATTTTTTAAAATATTTGAATTTTTCTTTTAAAACCTTTTTTTAAGGCGGTGTTGTACCAAATAGGAAATGAGCTACTACAGATAATTTTGTGAGGTATAAATTCGTCACGAAGATCGGTCAGAATACGATAAAAATTATAAACATTGTCGTCAATAGAACCGCTCGATAACAAGACATTTCAATCTTTTTTCGACAAGTTTGAATTAATTTCTACATAATTTCCTTCTTTGTAATTGAAAACAGTGCTCTTATTGACAGTCAGAAAACTAGGTATGTCTAAACTTAATTTGTGTGAATCCTCTGAGACAAGGGGGTGGTCACTGGATAGTATATTTACATGGTTATTGCAAAAGACAAGATGTAGTAGCCTATCGTTGCTATTTCGTATAATGTCGAGATTACATTCATTAATTATGTCCAAAAAATTCGCCTGACTTTCGTTTAAAACACCTATTGGCCCTATACTGTTTATGATTCGGAATTTTGATAGCGTGAGCTTCGGTGTGTTTCGCTTGCGGTGCGACGACAGCGCCGCCACAACCTGAAACCCGACCTGACCTGACGCAGTGCGCCTCCATGGACTGGTCGACGCGCGCGAGGAAGGCGCGGTGCATGTCGGCGCGCGGCGTGTATGTCGGCGCGCGGCGTGCATGTGCGAAGGCGGGCGTGCGCGTGCATCGGGTAGTCGCGCGGCACATGCAGTGCACGGCGGGGTCACTGACCTGGCGCAGCGCACGTCCATGGCCTGGTCGACGCGCGCGAGGAAGGGGCGGTGTGCGTCGGCGCGCAGCGTGCGCGTGCGCCGGCGGGTGGGCGCGTGTGCCGAGTACTCGCGCGGCACGTGCAGTGCACGGCGGGGTCGCTGACCTGGCGCAGCGCACGTCCATGGCTTGGACGACGCGCGCGAGGAAGAGGCGGTGTGCGCCGGCGGGCGGCCGCGTGTGCTGAGTACTCACGCGGCACGTGGAGTACACGGCGGGGTCACTGACCTGGCGCAGCGCGCATCCATGGCTTGGTCGACGCGCGCAAGAAAGGCGCGGTGTGCGTCGGCGCGCGGCGTACGCGTGCGCAGGCGGGCGGGCGCGTGCACGGGGTAGTCGCGCGGCACGGCCACGTGCACGGCAGGCACGCACGGCAGCCTCACGTCGTCCAGCTGCGCCACCAACGAGATGGCGCCGCTGCCACCCGACAGCTGCATAGTCTCCAGCGATACCTGATAACCAAACAATTCACGTCATTGGCGACCTGGCACTACTAGCACCAACTCTCTTTTTTATTTTTTATGGGATTTTTGTTTGTGAACATGTCAATCCCATTATAACTAATTTAAAATCTATAATTAATCTGCACATACTCAATGCAATATCCGAGGTGTAGGTACATATTATTGTTTTCCCTGGTAAAGTTTTCTATTTTTTTGCTTTACGCAGAAGAACATCAAAATTGGCTATTTTAAAAATAGAAATAGAAATGAAAAAAAAAATGTACAGAGGTCCTTACTTTGCTAAACATAAACGAGAAACGACAAATTCAATGAGGATATAGTCCAGTCACTTTAGCATAAAAGGGGGTCAATCTCTGAATGAAAGATAATAAGCTGAATTTTCGTATATACCTTTATTTAGGCGTTCTAAAAGTTGTCCTAAGTCTCATAAAAAACAAATGTTTGCGTTGTAAATTATTTAAGGTCAAAGGTAAAAAAAAAAAAAACAGTTTTTCGAGATTATCTCGGTTTCTATTGCTCCAACGTTGTTAAGACGACACATCGAAAAGGCTATCGCCGTACTGATCCGAGTGAATACATAATTTCTATAAAAACTTGAAAAAACGCCGTCATAAGGTCTAAAATTGCGTAGCGCCCGCGACGATTAAAAGCGCTTAGAAATTGTCAGAATCTTAAAATATTTTTTTAAGTTATTGATTTAAGTAATCAAAATAATGAACAAGTAAATTATGAATATTGATGTTATGAATATATTTCAGTGATTCCCAAACATATAGATTAAGTAATTTCGTTGTAATTTCAACTATAGTGATTTTTTAGAGGTGTTTTCGCAAATAATTATGATTGAGTCAAAATTATACAATCGTATTTTTTGAACAATCAAATTCAAGACAAAGATATGAATTTACCCATATCAAAATTACACTTTCCTTAGTGGTGTCATAGTCTTATGCTATTAGATGAAAGGAGGTGCAGTGAACTTGTGAAGGGCTGTAATGGTGATGGTGATAATCATGATATACGAAAATTCAGCTTAATATCGCTCATTCCGAGGTTGAACACTAATTTGACTGAACTAGCAGCTTTGTCCGCTGCGATAAGGCGGACTTAGTATCGAGTGGCGCACAGCGGTGCTGGCACATTCCTATTGTTATTGACTCAGGCACTACAGTGCTGTTGAGTTATCACACTCAACACAACATTCGAGCCGTGGGAAACATTGTAAACATGTCAATCGGCCGCTTGGATCGACTTCCGCGGCCACTACGACCGGCATCGCACATTAGCCCTTTAATCAAAACAAGCAAGCAACATATAAAACGTTAAACGTATGGTCTAAGCGGTATTTTAGTACATAATTTATGCATAAAAAATTTTTCCTTTACAAAGTCATCACAAGAAACTTCCAATCTTTGACATATTAAAAATCCATAGCAAGCGAGTTTACCCATATAATATTAATGTCATATACTTTTATTGAACTAAAACATATATTACTACAATTATATTTGTATTTAGTAAACATACAACATACCTTAAATCTAGAATCTAATCTAGCTATTTCGCCTTGTAAAACATCAGGAATTTCCATTGTTGGTTCATCTAATTTCAGCATTTTGTGTGGTGGAGGTAGATTTCTGAAACACAACATAAATATTTCACTTAAAAATTTTCTGGTCCCTTGAGCTAGATTATTTAATTGGTCGCGGTAGAACACACGTTAATATTCTTCTATTATTTTTTTTTTTAATATTTCTGAATGTATGTTTCTATTATTATTTATTTGTTTATTCTTAACAACTTGCCTTTTTATTTTTTATTTAAAAAAACCGTACATACTTAATCTCAGGTCCATTAAGTGCGTCTAAAGTGGATCCAAATGTGCGCTTGAGGGTGTGGTTGGCTAGCGGCGATTGAAGGCAGTTATTCACGACTTCCAGTAACGGATTGAAGATTTGTTCCTGCTAGATTAAAAAGAAATGGATAACATACATAATACATAAACACTCACGCCTGTTACCCAGAGTGGTAGGCAGAGACTATAGACTTCCATTTGGCACGATCTTGACACACCTCTCGCCTCTTCCACATCCATACACCTACGTATACATGCTCGTCGACTAAGGGTACTCTTAATTTGGCCCATTTTTAATATATCGCGAATTTGGTCGACAACCTTTCGCCTTGGACGTCCATTTCCGACTCTTCCATTCACCTCTGCAACAGATATTTGCTTTGTCAGTCTTTCCTCATTCATTCTTTCTACATGACCAAACCACCGAAGCATTCCTTTCATAATCTTGGTCACCGCATGTTCTTGCAAACCACACTCTTCTTTTATCACACAATTTCTCACCCTGTCACTCAGATTCAGCCCTAACATACTCCTTAGCGACCGCATTTCTACTGCATTTATTCTACTCTCGTGCTTCTTCTGCCACACCCAACTTTCACTACCATACGTTAAAGTAGGGACTAATACAGCATTGTGAATTGCCATACGTGCCTTTTTTTGACACATTCTGACTTTTCACAGTAGAGTGTAGAGCCCCATTTACTTTATTTCCTGCATTCACTCCTCGTTCAATATCCTTATATTGAACGACGAGTGACGACGATAAATGGATAACATCTTGATATTTCATAAATGTTGTATATTACATCGATTTTACATAAGGTTTAAATGGAAGCCTATCTTACCTTCCCAGTAGTGGCAGGCAAGCCTAATCCCACACTCTCGCTACGCTTGAAGTCCAACTTCTCGAGCACCACTTCACACTTAATCAGTGTCTCCAGGGGCATTCGTTTATTGGGGTTTGACAGAATATCCAGTAAGTTCTTCATTTTTGTTAGTTTTTCCACATCTTAAAACAAAAATAGTAACTTAATAAGTACTCATTTTAGCAAAGTATATAAAGATGCGTATATAATGTATTCCAGCTTGTCGTAACGTAATTCTACACTAATATGAAAATCAAGAGCAAGCTACTAAAAGTATACTATAAAATTTATCACCACATGGAATAACAATGATGATGAAATTATTTCCATAAGAGCTGTTCGCTGTTCATTTAAAACTTAAAATTTAATAATTATAATAATGACTAAAGGAAAAGTAATAAAAAAACTTTCAAGAAAAATCTTCACTATTATTCTATATAGATGTCTAATTTTGTTTAACCGCTTGTTAAGAGGATATTGAGGCTGTAAGAAATTTGAAAAATAGGTATTTAACCATCTACTGTTGTTGCGCTATACCCGACCGACCGCGTTGGACAACCGAGAAAGACAATTGCAGCTCGGTCTAATAATACATATGAAAAATGATTATGTATTCCCGTTTCCTCCTCTAAAACTGGACTGATTTGAACCAGACTTGATATTTTTGTTAAGAACTTTATTTATTTATTTTTATAGAAGGATTTTATTTCAGAATGTTATTAGCTTTAAATTAATCAATTGATGGAGAAAAAGGAAACAAGACTTATTATTTGGAGAAATGGATTGTATCATAAGAAGATATTTTCTTTTATGTCATTATTAATGAGAAAAGAGAAGAATACTTTTGTAAGGACTAAACATCGTGGCGATGTTAATAGTTTATAATACCTATTAAAATATATAAAATAAATAAAATAACCCTAGTTTCTTGATAGCTCTTGTTTGTAGAGCTATTTGCTATTCATAAGAACTAAACCTTTTACGCTGGTTCGTTTTAAATAGAAAATTAAATGTGTGCACTCACTCTCGCCCTCGTTGACCATACGCTGCACCATGCGTCTCAGCGGCTCGATGTATTTAGAGAGCTGGCGCACTTTCTCGCGGTACACGGCGTCCTCGCCGCTAGGAGATGCGACCCCTCCACCCAAGGGGGTATTCAGGGACGACGATGGCGACGCCACCATGCCCATGTTTACACCGCTGCCAAATCAGCAGAATTCACTTAGATGTTTTCCATAAATAAAGTTAATATTAAGAGGGAAGAAGAAAGTCAGGAAGCCTGCACCGGTGCATCTTGCTAGCTCATAAATGAGGCCCCAAAAAATTAAATATACAACCATTTATCAGTCACTAGACTGATAAATATTTAATTTTTTGGGGCACTGCAATCACCAACATAACTGTTAAGTGATATACATCTTTCTATAATTAAGTAACTTATGGCAAGGTGAGGTTTACAAGCAAAGTTTCTCCATAATCAAATGAATACTACAGAAATGCATAAAAGACAAAGAAACAAATAAATATTCATTTATTTAAGGGAAACTGTTTCTCAACCTACGGCACAATATCAATATTAACACATCATTATAAAACCAATTGTTATAAGTAAGACAAAGTTTTTCTTTTTTAACAGACTTATATGACACCATAGAATTTTTACCTCTAACAAGTAATATATATGACCAAATAAAAAAGTGTTATAGTTTAAAATAGAAAAGGCATGTTATAAGGATGTTTTCTTTTTTCTTTAAAAAAAATTACATAATTTTATTGATAGCTTAATCTGGTAATCATTATGCAATTAAGGCCAGGTTGTATTTTGACGCGCGAAAATAGTTACTCTTTGAAATAGTGTATATTTCTTGAAGAGACCATAATCATATTCCTACACGTGTCAAAATATCGACCATAAGCGACATTCGAGGAAGAGCTAAGATCTTAATTCGGGCAATTAAAAAGTTGTTATGAACAGTAATCCAATAAAAATGCTCCGATCTACATGACATAAACTAATCGATAGACACATCATACAGTGAATTAAAGGTCGTTTTAACAATATTTGATTATAATGTTTGCATGGAAACGTTAAACAAATGAGAAATTAGTAAATATAACGAATGCAAAAACAAACATATAGAAAATAATCAAAAATTAACAACCAATTTAAATTGAATAAAACTAAATTTACGGATTTTATCGCGTTTATTTCACTACTTTTACTTATTTTTAATTCCCGACGTTTCGGGTGCTTTACAGCAACCATGGTCACGGGGGGGACTGAGATGTTTGACGTCCCAATGTCATAGTTAGTCCGGCTACCTTCAGTTTTTGAATATTAATTTTTGGTCCGATTTACGCAAAACGAGCTTATAGTATCATGAAGTCTTGTAGTGGTATGCTTAGGTTTGGGTTTAATTTTGTTAATTATAGGATCCCAAGCAGGTGGCAGCACCCATCCATCTTCTCTATTGAAATTTGGATGTTTTTTAATTTCAATAGCCTCGCGTATCATCCTTGGTAGGAATCGGTGTTCTTTTGCGAGAATTTGTGGTTTATCAAAACGAATGTAATGGTGGGGACGATCTTGAACATGTTCGCAGACTGCAGACTTCCCAGAGCGTCGGTGCTTCACGTCAGCTATATGTTCTTTCACGCGGGTTTTTATGGATCTTTTTGTTTGACCTATGTAAGAGAGACCACATTCACAATCTAACTTGTACACTCCTCCATCTTGTAGAGGGATATTACACTTGACGGATGGTAAAAATTGACTAATCTTCTTCGGCGGCTTGTAGTATGTTTTAATAGAAGCTCGCTTCAAGATGTAGCCAACCTTGTCTGTGACTCCTCTGACATATGGTAGTACAGCAGGTACACGCTCGACTGTGGCCGGCTTCACTCGGTCACTGTGACGTAGGCGCGGGACCCGAAGCGTGTTAGATGTGGGGTCTGTCCCCACAACTAACACGCTTAAAGCAACTAGCGATTTAATAAAGAAACACTCCGTAAAATTAAATCTCGACGTGAATTCGCTAATACCATCATATACCAAACCACCGAGGTTGTATGGGTTACCAAAGATACACAAACCAAACGCTCCACTACGTCCGATAGTGAGCCAGATCGATTCACCAACTTATAAGCTGGCACAACACTTGGCAAAAGTACTGTCACCACTGAGAGGACATACCAGAGCACACACAAAGGATTCATACCATTTTGTTAGTGAGATAAAAGACCTACATCTCGCTGACAATGAAACTATGGTCAGTTTTGATGTTCAGTCACTATTCACATGCCTACCTATTGAAGACTGCATATCAATTGTAACTAGGAAGCTAGAATATAATAACATGCCTGCTGAATATGCAGTATTACTCAAACACTGCCTCACATCTGGCTATCTATTGTGGAAGGAAGAGTTCTACAAGCAAGTAGATGGTGTGGCGATGGACTCACCTGTATCTACCATAGTCGCTGACATATTCATGGAGGACTTCGAGGAGAAAGCCCTTCTTACTGCTCCTGTAAATCCAAGATTCTACAAGCGGTACGTAGACAACACTTTCACAATTTTACCATCTGACAAAGTAACTGCATTTTTAAACCACCTTAACTCTATAAACTCTAAAATACAATTCACAATGGAGTTAGAGGCAAATAATTCTTTAGCTTTCTTAGATGTTTTAGTCATTCGAAATCCTAATAACACAATTGGTCACACTGTGTATAGAAAAAAGACCCACACCAACCGATATTTAAATGGTGAATCTCACCATCATCCTTCACAGTTAGCTACCGTGGGTAAATCTTTGTTTCAGAGAGCACGAGGGATCTGTGACAGAAAACATCTGGCTGCCGAACTTCAGCACGTCAAGCAAGTATTGCAAGACAACAAGCTTCGGATCCCGCGCCTACGTCACAGTGACCGAGTGAAGCCGGCCACAGTCGAGCGTGTACCTGCTGTACTACCATATGTCAGAGGAGTCACAGACAAGGTTGGCTACATCTTGAAGCGAGCTTCTATTAAAACATACTACAAGCCGCCGAAGAAGATTAGTCAATTTTTACCATCCGTCAAGTGTAATATCCCTCTACAAGATGCAGGAGTGTACAAGTTAGATTGTGAATGTGGTCTCTCTTACATAGGTCAAACAAAAAGATCCATAAAAACCCGCGTGAAAGAACATATAGCTGACGTGAAGCACCGACGCTCCGGGAAGTCTGCAGTCTGCGAACATGTTCAAGATCGTTCCCACCATTACATTCGTTTTGATAAACCACAAATTCTCGCAAAAGAACACCGATTCCTACCAAGGATGATACGCGAGGCTATTGAAATTAAAAAACACCCAAATTTCAATAGAGAAGATGGATGGGTGCTGCCACCTGCTTGGGATCCTATAATTAACAAAATTAAACCCAAACCTAAGCATACCACTGCAAGACTTCATGATACTATAAGCTCGTTTTGCGTAAATCGGACCAAAAATTAATATTCAAAAACTGAAGGTAGCCGGACTAACTATGACATTGGGACGTCAAACATCTCAGTCCCCCCCGTGACCATGGTTGCTGTAAAGCACCCGAAACGTCGGGAATTAAAAATAAGTAAAAGTAGTGAAATAGACGCGATAAAATCCGTAAATTTAGTTTTATTCAATGTGTAGTGTTCGCGTAAATTTAAGAAATCATTAACCAATTTAAATTTTAAACATCTGATTCAATCAATCTATATAATCTGTCAAAATATAATCTGGATGATGCAATAATTATAGTCAAACAAATCTAAGAAATACCTTTTGACGTTTCACATTAATCATTCCGCAATAACTTTGCACAAGCATATTCATACGATTTACAATAACCTTTTACCTAAATCCGAAAAACTATGCAGTTATCTATATTTAATTACGACGTGTTTAGTTTTTTATCGCTAATTTAAATTTGAATCTTTTAAACAAAGCAAAATATTAAAAAATTACCAGTATCAACTTCTTTACTTGACGTCCTTTCAATGATGTGCCTTATCGTAGTGTTTGGATGATTAAAATTCATTGATATGCGAATAATCGGCAAAAAATTTAAATAATCGTAAAAATATTCAAATAATCGAATCATTAATTTTTTTAATGTATTATTTGTTTAATTAAATTTTTATTTTGAAAATTCCTTAAATTACATGAATCATGAATAAAACAAGTTTATTTTTTTTACTTTGTCAACGTAAAGGACAATGGCGAACTCCCAAATAATTATAAGTTGACTTTTTTTCTTGCGTCTACAAATGCAAAATATGTAAAAATATAGTTTAAGATCCTAAAAGTTTTTTTCTTCGGTCATACTACTGCTGGAAGTCACGAATTAGAGATATTCCAGTTTAAGCAAAATACACATCAGACTAGGCTGTATGGTATAAAACGCCATAGCCCGCTAGCTCAGAAAGAACAGCAAACAGGATAACTAGCAAATCGTTACAAAAACAACTAGGTAATATAATTTTCATATATGTTTATAAAGGGTAGTTACTAGCCTAGAGGGAATCCTTAAAGAAAGCATTAGTATATATAGAAGAGTATGCTGAATAAAATACACATCACACTCGGCTGTATGTTATAAGACCTTTGTCTGCGTTAACTGACGAATCGTAACAACAACAACAACTAGTCATTTAAGTTTTGAATTTTGCATGATTATTTTTTATGTTCATAAGCTTGATTAGATAATACATAGTAATTTACTTTATTGATGTCCTGTAATGTTGACTTAAGTAGACGATTAATAATTCCATTACCTATTATTTCGCCATTGTCCTTTATGTAGGCAAAAAATCTCATAAACAAGGCCGCGCTGAAAAACACAACTACGTAATTTCAATCTCCTGCCATTTCAGGAGCTTACTGTGCGTAATTTTGTGTTTGTCATCTTATTTTGTGACTCTGTTTTAACTTTTTGGACTGTTTTTTCTATATTCGTTGAAGCATGTGCCCATGTCGAAAACAATGATTGGGCAAAAGTGGTAGAAAAAAAAAAAAAAAAGATTATGGATGACTTTGAGAGACATTCATTTTGACCGCATTATTGAAAATCAAATAATAATGAATCTAAAAAACGACAGCTCAAGTAATTTTACTGAAAGTGATTGAATGAATTTATTTTTAATCTAGTTTCAATCTAAAATTTTTATAACTGTCCCTCTAGAAATAAGAAATAACAAAGAAACTGATGTTTTAAATTAACCGTTTTAAATTTATTCTGATATTATTCAAACCAAACTAAATGATTACCAACTCTAAATAATCGATATCGATTTTTTTAAGAATCGAATATTGTACGTTGCCATTTTTTGGTTGGCATGCTTGGTGCAATAAGTTTGACAGCTGTCAAAATGTATTTCTTAGATTTGGTTGACTATAGAGTATTATCGAAAGGAATGAATTTTGCAATAACACCGCGAAGATTACCGTACAAAAAAATTATCTGTAATGTCAAGGACTGTTCATTTAAAAACAACATGCGGCAAAAAGATTTGGAGGAGATACTTCGAGACTTTCGTCTATGATACGTCGAAGTTCAGTGCTTAAACCAAATCTTCCCGAAGACGAATTTAAAGCGTTAAATAACCTACACAATAAACCAGAACTCTTGATTATCCGCGCAGATAAGGGAAACACCACGGTAATCATGGGTACGTCCGATTATAATTCTAAAATACAAGAACTTTTGTCGGATGTTAGCACTTATAGCAACTAGTGACCTCATAAAGAAACACTCCAAAAAATTTAATCTGGACAAAAAATCGATAATACCTACATGTGACAAACCACCAAAGTGGTACGGGTTACCAAAATACACAAGCCCAATCTCCACTATTCCCACGATCACCAACTTAGATTGTCAACAGAAAACTCACCACTCAGGGGACAAACAAGAACATACACTAAGGATTCCTCTCCTTTTCGAACAAAACTTTTAAAAGCAGTATAATAGTATTCTATGGATTCCAAATTAAGAATATTGAAATTTGATTATGGGAAGATTATGCCTCCATAGCTACTACTAATACATACTTATATCAGGGCGCCTTTATTTCTTTATTTTGTGCACGAGTTTAATAACGTACCGCTGTTGCTGTGGGGCATGATGTGCGAGATGTGCGGATGTGGATGGCGAGGGACTTCCAACACCTCCGCAAGCTCCCATTGCACCTAGCGAAGACATTGGGGAAGATAACGCACCACTCAATACACTGCCACCTGTATTACAAAAAACATAGTTTAAACAAAATAGTGCAGATAATACTGAAATTAATTCTCATATTAGTGATTGATCTACTATGGCAAAAAGGTACCCCCAGTTTGAGTGCTTGCTATAATGGTTACACTCCTCCTTATTTAATGACTAGAAACTGATGCAGCCTATAAAAAAACAACTGCTCAACATGGGTTTCCCCATAGATTGCCTCATAGGAGAGATATTTGCCAGTTTCCACGCGTGGCAGGAAAGCTGACAATCGCAGTTTTTAATTTTTTTTTTGTTATTGGGAAGATACCTATCCTCTTCTGGTTTATTTCCCTGTGTCGTCTCTTACGACACCCACGGAATGATAAGATGTAGTGGACATTCTTACACTGTCACTACATGGTCAATTCTTTCTACATTATTTTAATCAGAATTTATACTAGACATAAAGGCGATGGGTAGTAGCGTTAAAAGGTGCCAGACGTCTGATACTGCATTGTCTATCTAGTCAAACTTTAGAATTAAGTATACCTTTACTAAAGACTTTTATGAGCTTATGTAGAAGAAGATACACTTAGTTTTATGGGTCATAAAGTAATTCAGAAGTATTATGTTCTACAATATTGGATGCAGTGGCTACATTGAAAAAATATTTAATATATTTAGATCTTTATAATGTAATAGCATTTAAAATATGAAGTTGCTGTTTTTCCTTATACACTGAAGTGACAAATTTCCAGTCCACCTGACAGTAACGAGTTCTGCCAGGCAGAAAATTACTCCTACCACCTAGTACTTTTTATGCTGTTTTAATGGAGTTCATATAAAATCAAACCGGCATGGTCCAAAATTCGTGATAATTTTTTTTACACAATACAATTTCGTGATTGTTGAGCCACAGCGTAACACAACTAATAATGTTTGAAATGCTTACTCACCCATAGAAACTGGACTTGGGCCACCCATGTTAGGAGATGAGGCAGAGGGTGAAGGACTCTGACGTAGAAACTGATTGGGTGGTGGAGCTCTAGACGGAGGGTAGCCAGCGCTTAACATACCACCCACAACTTCCGGCTTGTTGCCTACACGGCCTTGCATATGTAGCATATTCATGTTCACCATCTGGTTGTTAGTCATTCCACCAACTGAAATAGAATGATTGATAAATATAAATCACATCCATCACTATACAATTTTTTGAAAACAAACATGCTCAGCAGGGGAAAATTTTATCTGGATCCGATTATTAATACTAAAGAAAATTTATTTTGATTTTTGCACACCCAGAAATTTATCATTTTAATTTTACTAGGGTTTGGATAAATTCTCATAATAGTTTATGCTATAATAGCAAAATAATGGAAGTGGAAACCCAGAATATGATTTCAGAGGAATATCTATTCCTATATTTTGTAACTTTCTACTGGTAAGTGTGTCCTGAGGACTTTCCAAGTTGCACTTAATCTTAACATAAATCTTATCACTTACCCATTTGCCCTGACATCTGTCCTTGCATGGAATTAGGCGCCATTTGTCCTCCCATACCTCCAACAACCTGATTACATTGCATCTGGCCTCCCATAGTATTAGCACCAGAAAGTGGTACTTGCATTGTGTTAGACATTGACATGTTTTGCATCATTTGCCCCTGCATTCCAGGTCCTGTCAATTGATTCTGCAACTGACTCCCCATAGGATTCCCCATTCCTCCCATTGACACCATATTATTTCCCATTTGATTCTGATTTGGTACCATTCCCATACTCAGTTTATTTTGCAGTTGCATATTCAACTGAGGCCTCTGGTTTAAAGTTTGAAGGAGGTTAGTTGCTGTTTGTGACTGAGGGCCTCCTTGCGACACAATTGGGCCTTGCTGCCCAATTTGAGCCTGCAACCCAGCCATGCCTGGATTTGGACCGAGCACCCCTTGCTGTTGCATTTGTCCCTGGCCCATGTTCATCATCTGGTTCCTAGTACCTTGTGAAGCTAGATTCTGCAATGCGTTTATAGGATCGGGTGCAAGACCAGTTTGACTATTTGGTCCTTGTGGTACTTGGCCAGGTTGTGATTGGACTTGTTGGTTTGGGCCTGCTTGATTCTGGTTAGGCCCTTGCATTGCTGTTCCTGCTTGATTTTGTTTTGGTTGCGCTGGAATTGAAGATTAATATTGCAAATCTAAGGCAAAATAAATAAAAATAGTAAAGAATTAATTATGTAGAAAATGTCAAAAATGCTATCAATCAATTTATATCAAAGTAATTTTATAAATTGACTAGAGAATACAATCCCGAGCATGTTTTTCAATTCCGGGATAACGGGATTTTTGATGCGTAATCCTGGGATCCCGGAGCTGTCCCGGGATTAGACTATATGGTTTCCACTAAATGGGCTGAAATGAAAAAAAACTTCAGTAATTTTTTAAAAATGTTTTTAATATAATTTGCACAACACAAATCACAAAAATATAGTAAGAAAAGAAAATAAACAAAACAAAAAAACTATACATTTGCAAGAAATCAAAAAACAACACATCAAAACTATTTAGAACTTCCAAAATACAATTGCAGAAATATCTAAGCATCCAATGTGTGACTTCCAAGCCTGCTTCGTAGTTTATTGCCAACATAAACAGCAGCTGAAAACGCTCGCTCAGGTTCTATGCTGGTAGGAGATAATAAATACTTATGCTGTTTCTAAGTGAAGTCCACGAACTCCTCCAATTTCGAATGGACCGATTTCACGTCTAATACTATTTACCAATCCTGACTCATGTAATTGTACTTCAGGATCTGGGCATTTCATACTCTTATCAATTTCCAGCAGTAACTTTTCCTTTAATGTCATTTGGGGTTGGGAGGTTTCTGGCCTTAGCTCATCATCTATTTGTGATCCTGACCTTTCTTCTTCTTCCGTGTCATCGCGGCTGTTAAGTCTTTTGACAATACTCTTTATTTGCTTCCCCACTAAAGCCTGTGTAGGAACTGGAAATAAGTCATACCATTCCAAATCCGATAATAATTGATTTTCATCATCTTTTCATGGATTCTTTAAATAATTCTACACACCAGTTAAATGATCACTTCGTCATTGCTTTATACATAATATTAAGGATGTTTTAATTTTTTTGGCAAGTGCTGAGTTTTTGCTAGTTGTTTTGTAAGAAATTTCAATGCGGCATCAGCTGTGCATAAATTAGTTGCTTCAACTATCAATTTAATAGGAGTCAGCAGATCAACAATTTTATTTACCAATTTAAAATCATCATCTTCTAAATGAATTGGATGATTGAGATCTATCTATAAGAGCTTTTTGAATGCAGTTTTTTAAAAGATAAAATTGCTCTAGCATTGTTAAAAGTTTTTTACAGTCTTACAGTTCTCTGGTTTTACAGTCCAAAAGAAATGGCAGCTTTTTTCCATGTTCAATTTTCACATATTTTTGAAGTACTGTTTCATTTTTCACTGGTAACCTTTTGAAATACACTATAACTATGCAGATTTTCTTAATCAGCTCATTGATATTTTCATCTTGTGTTATCTCTGGTATGTGTTCTCGCATTTCTTGCACAAGATCATTTTGTGACATAAAGATTAAACCTGATTTTGGACAGTCTGTCTTCTAAATGGTCATCATCATTGGGGTCATCCATATAAGCAACAGCCATAGCAGTATCACTTCTAGTATCATCTGAGGTAGGGCTATCTTGCAACTAATTGTTATGATTTCTTATATTTACGCGAACACTACACATTGATTAAAACTACTTTTACGGAACTGTGAGTTCCCCGTGACCATGGGTGCTGGAAAGCACCCGAAACATCGGGAATTAAAAATATAAAAATAATTAAAGTTAATTATTAATTAATAATTATGTTTTTCATAAAGCACATCACAGACGGCCGAATTGACACCATGTGCAAGACACAGTTGTTGTTCAAGGTAAACAAGCCGTCCCACCTTTATCATAACATTTGGTCCATCGAATATTATATCCACTATGTCAGTTTCCAGGAAAATATCAAATTTACTTAGATGCCCTTTCAATATACGAAGACAATTTTCAGCTGTCATACTTCCATAAATAAAAAAAGCCGTGGTAGCTCAGATGGTTAATGCTTTCTGTAAAAATAACAATAACAGAATGCGAGTAGCCCGGGTTCGATCCCCGCCGGCACCAATGAAATTGTTAATTGCAATTTTAAGTGCTGATTTACCACGTGCTCGGCGGTGAAGGAAAACACCGTGAGGAAACCTGCATGTCTGAGGAATAAGAAAAAAAATATTTCGAAGACATGTAAAGTTCGCCAACATGCTTTGGGGCAGCGCGGCGGACACTTTCTTGCCCTAAAACCCTCTCGAAAATGAGAGTAGGCCTGTGCTCAATAGTGAGACGTTTATAGGCTGTAACTTTAACTTTTAACTTTATACTTTCACAAATAGGAACAAGTCCTAAATAAAAAGACTAAATCTTTCACCTTTACTTTTCAAATGTAAATCCATCTAATGCAATCATTCTTGCCAACACAAAAAACATCATGCAGGTTGCTATCCTCGGCACTTTTAGTAAAATAATAATCTAACTTTTGCATGGCTGGCAGTGACGCTGTGTGCACATTGTCACCACCTTGAGAATGGCTGGGTTTTTTTTTTTTTTTTTTTTTATAGGATAGGGTGACAAACGAGCACACAGTCCACCTGATGGTAAGTGGTTGCTGTGGCCCATAGACATCTACATCTATCCTCGATTACGAATCAAAATGCAGATGCGTTGTCACCCGTGAGGACTAAGATGGAATGCCTCGTTTCCAGTAAAAAGGGTCTCCGGTTCTCTGCACTCACCATACGAAATACAGCAGCATTAAGCTACTATTTCACGCTGGTATTCTGTGAGAGCGTGGTCCTTCCCTAGTCGAGCCAACCCATTCATGCTACAACTATACTACTAATATAACTGCAGCATGGCTCACCACCTTGATAATGGCTGGGTATCGCTTACATTTAGCACTATTTCTGTCCTTCATAAATAAAAAATAACTCCACACTGATGTCTTATTGTCATATCACTCTTTTTTATGTTTATGTCTCCTACCATTTAAAATTAAGTATTTTAAACGGCTTAGTAATTACCTTAAGAGTATTGTATTGAAGTATTCAGAGCGGGAAAGTCCCTTCTAAGTTCTACATACGACAAACATATTATTAGGGCTGTATCTGTGTAGTCCGTATTGAAGCACATATCTAAGGGTTGTTTGTTATGTTATGTTATTTATAACCATAGCATTTATGCTATTAAGATTATTGTCAAGGCGAAAGGGACTACGGATTGCAAAATAGACCTGTTTGTGGCAATACTGTAAATCCTGAGATTAGCCAAGTATAGTCCCGGGATTTTCGAGGCCAAAAAACAGCCGGGTTCCAAAATCTTGGGATTGTATTCTCTAAAATAGAGAATGATCATAGAAAATATGAAAAGTACTGCCTTATTACTTTGGTAAAGTAAAAGTAAATTTAAAGCTCTTTTCAGATGGAGTTACGAACTAATTAATCCACTAAACTGATCCAGTACATGTTGGGGAACTTCATTACCGAGCATATGGTGAATCAGCAACGTAAATTGTCATTTACAATTACATTATTGTCAGTGGGTAGATCCCTAGCTGTTCATGTTCTGTGAAAATTTATCGACTGCTACCACTGCTTATTTTTTGCAGACACAATTTATATTATTTTATATATATGTGTGATTTATTATATGATCATACAAGCAACAACAGTGGTAAAAAAATGAATATATAAGGGCATGATTTAATACTTCATAGGTCTTCAATAAAAATGTGTGCATGTACTTGTCGCACTATAATAATATATCCTGTGCAGTCAGTCACTTCTGATTATATTTGAAAGTTGTCATAGTCAATCAAGGTAACAATCATCATGATATTATATGACTTACACATCTCCCTAACATGCAATATGAGTTTGGCAACCATATTCATATACTCTTCTCTTGTCTTAGCTTTCATGTACACATGGTTTTCCATCTCGCTGCTGTTGCGGGCCACTTGCATGCCTGAACGCTGGATTACCTCCTCTCTAAAAATATACAGCAAGTTTTTTTATAACACATTTCATTTGAATTTGACAAGGGTATAAAGGGTGAATAAGGGTGACAAACTAGAGGACAAACATGGAGTATTTCCAGTAAAATGTGACTCCAATTTACTAAACTCACCATACGGAACACAGCAGCATTAAGTTGCTTTTTTACACTGGTTCTGTGAGAGTGTGTTTCTTCCCTGGCCCATTTGTACTACAACCTTAATATAGCTGCAGCCGGGCTCTATCATACTTAAAATTATATTATATGTGATAATGAGACTGAACAGGCCACAGATAAGGATAGAAACAAGTGCTATCGCAGGACATGGCCCCTTTAACAAACATTTATTTACCGTAGGTGTAACAGATCGCACCTTTATTCATAAACTGGATTAACTCAAAATTTACGTTTTTCGAGTTTTCATCATAAACCGCATTAACTTCGTCAGGAGAATAGGTACAGTCCAACAGCAGACTCGATAACGCTAAAAATGAGTTAGACGATTGTCATCCTGTTTTTGATTAATGCGCGCGAACAAGTCGATACCAGTAAAGTGAGCAAGTTCAGTTATGCGCCGGCGTTGTTCCAGTTAATATCTTAAAATATTTTAAAGTAAGTGAAATAAACCAGAATAATTCGCTGTTTTAGTATCAGGTTGTTATTTTATATGCTTTATTTTATTCAAAAACTGCATCTATTTAGACTTATTTCATTTTATTAGAAAAGTGAATGTATATTTTAGCGTGAACAATATGACTTAATTCAGTTTTGTATAAATTATATCATATCAAATACGAAATCATTTCGAATTAATCCATTTTAATATTAAAATGTAGAAACAAAATTTGAATAATTAAGTTTTGTACTATAAATTCCCAGAAACATATTAATTTTTATATTTATTATAGACGAAGATGGTGATAAAAAAAAGTGATTTTCTATTTCGACAATTGATGTGGACAGAAAAAAAATACATAACATCTCTTTATTTATATGCTGTGCAAAAATTAAATATTAAGAGCATTACGCATAAATTTTTAATCAGGGGTCACACGCAAAATGAGGCTGATAGCGTGCATAGCCTCATTGAGAAAGAAATTAAGAAAAACTTAAAATCTGGCCCAATATATATACCCGACCAATACATTGCTGTGATTAGGAATGCCAAAAATTCTCAATCTACATTAATTGTGCATGAGATGAATTATCAATAATTTTATGATATGAAAACATTACAAGAAGAGTGGGGATACAATAAACACAGATGGACAGAATGTTAATTGGAATGAAATAAAAGTCTTAAAAGTAACTAAAGAAAACCCTACCTCAGTTTTCTACAAGACATCATACAAGGATAAAGACTACAAGGACGTTAATGTAAGAAATAAAAGGAAGAAAATGAAACTAACGACAGAAATAACACTTCAAGACGCCCATTTTACTAAACAAGAAATAAGTGAAAAAAGAAGAAAGATTTAAGGGAGCTGATTTCAAAAGCATTAATCCCGTCTTTTTAAGCAAGGTTTTATAATAATATACTTTAAGTACTATAATATTTTTATGTTAAGTTTTAAAATCAGATCTCATTATATTTGATTTTTAAGTGTGATATGAAAACCAAAACAATTTCTTAAAAACTTTTCCTTTTTTTTTAATTTTCACATATTATAATATTATTTTGTTAATTTATAAATACTTGCGAAGATTTAATTTTTGTTTTGTTTTGATTAATATGAATATCTCTGAAGATTAACCAGAAGTTACTTAATAATTGTATTACCGACAATACTTTGAAGTTGGTATTCACAGTAGTATTTAAGTAGATACCTATACAGAAGTATTTAGACTGTTTACTAAGACATCATTAAGTACTGTAACTAAAATAATGTTTTTTTCTTAAATAATTAAAACATGTAAACACAAAAATATTTCTTAATTTTCTTAAAAATAACACCTATCTGTGCAAATTATAGTTTGAATTAAAAATAAGAAAGTAATAATTAGGAATATTACATCGACAATAATTCATGCCTATATCTCAATACTGCAAATAATCTAAACATTTTACATACTAACACGATAATTTTAATATAAAACTGCAATATTTTCAATTACTCCATTGGCATCAAAATTATTTGTTTACATATTTTAGTAAAAAGTGAAATAAGTAGAAACTTTTTTTTAAAATACTTCTATAGAGTGTATTCTTGACGAAAATATAATAATTTTCCCTTCATTCTAATGCTTTGTTAATTAAGCTACACATATCTAATTTTGAAACTGACCAAAGCCATCTATTATTTTATTTATAATTTTTTGATGTCACCGATCTCTACATGTAAAACTTTAAATGTGATTTCCCACAAAACTGAAATTTTGTGTTAATGCAGCTTATGAATAAAGGTGCGAGATAGTCCCTTGTGCAGGGCATGTATGGGGGAGGATGCAACGGTAGCCCATATGTTCCCGACACATTCGGAGGTTGTTGCATACAGGTCTAAACATCTCGGCATGCTGAGATCACTCCCCAAAGTTGCTTGCAACATCAAAGGGCTGTTGAACTTCTTCGAGAAGATGTCATAGCTTGAACAATCACATTATTCTCTGCCACTATCAAAATACACACTTAGATGTGGAGTAGCGAAAAACAGCCTGTCTAAACTAAACTTATATATATATATATATATATATATATTTTCTTTTATAATTTCTCTACCACATATAATAAAATTAAATTAATTAATAAGAAATTGATATATATCCAAAGATTGAACGATTGGTAGAGAGGCACTCATTTGGAAGGTAAATGATTGAATAATTTCAAATCATAGTAACATACTTAACATATAGTTAGCTCCCATAATGTAATCATAACAGAAAAGTGTCAAAAAGATTTGAATGCAGTTCAACTCTAGGAGCATTACCTCCTCTTTGAGATAATTAGTGCTATCTGCACAAAGCCATTTTGGTCACTGGTAGTTAATTATTCATACCGCTCTTTAGCCATTATTGCCCAAGACGGTGGGGCTTATTGCAAAATAATATTAAAGAAATGATATTTGATCAATGTTTCCACCAATTATAAACTTAAAATACAGGATAAAAAATTGATGTTATTGTAGGTACTGCCAACACCAATATATACTGGTTCTGTATACCCTATTTTTCAGATCGAAAGTCGAGATTCGGCAGCGAGGTGTAGTTTGACGTCGGAAATACGTGAAAGGTTTAACCTAACCAAACGAGCTCCTTGGCAACGAAGAAGCCCTACAACTATTGAAATATCTCACATCTATTGCGCATCTTTTAAATTCCTTTGTGTATGAATTCACTGGAGTACATAATTATTATAAACTTCGTATCAACTCACATCTTTGAGACAACGCTTTGCCGAAAGTTCGAAGTTCTCCAATTATCCTCCGATCCCATGGTGTTAAACTGCTTAAGGTTATCCATTCTTAATGAATCCTTCTTGAAAGATACGTCAACACTTGAGACAATATTATCTAGAACCGTCTTGAACAAAATAAATTATAAATTGTAACAACTAACAACGCACACTGACAGAAGAAAGATAGTACAAACTTCAAACTCTTCTGTCTACGGTACACACAGTAGGCATGAGACCGATATATCAAAACGTAACTAATAACGTTAAGTTATCAAAATATCATATCGTATCATATCGATACACCTAAGTATATAACCGTTATTACATATCCAACCAAAACCAAAAAACAAAAACGTACGAAAGTTACGAAACGTAAAACCAAAACTTTAACGCGCTTTAACGATAACGATATGCCAACACGTCCCACTAAACTAACCGATGACCTTCGTTGATGTTCGTTGTTTCTCGTTCTAGCGACAGTGTCATAAATACGTATAGAAAGAGATGAAGCGAATTTGGATTTCATTGCGAATTGCGATGTTTTTGTAGTTTTCACACACGGTACAAAATAGACATAGTGGATATAATTACCGACAGCAATAAGGTCGAATTTTAAATAATTAAAATTCCCTAATTTTTAAGTTTGTGTAGTTGTGAGAGTTGTCAAATTTAAATAATCTTTAGGCTAATAGACACAAGACTTGGATTTGTATGGCCATATTATATTTGGTTTAGGCAACTTTATGTTTATGTTTTCGATGGAAAGTTTAGAATTTGATTTTTTTTCTAAACGCAGCAATTACGCACTTGACCTTGGTGGTGCATGTCGTTCCTTAGCGAATAATAATATCTACAATATTATTAATTTCTGACGTTGCGCTTGTGCATTTATTTGCAATATTTGTGTGCATTTTGTACATTAATTTTAATGCAGACAATTATGTGTTAAGTGAATATATAGTATAGTATAGATAAAGTTAATTTAGATTTTATAATATATTTATTTATAATTTATTGTACCGTGTACTGATGATGTAAGAATATCCACTACCCCATATCATCCCGATGCAAGGAAACAAATCAGGAGATAGACACGGAACTAAAAACAGTGTGTGTCGAGAAGACACACGACAGAAATAAAACTTTTATATTACAGGTAAACATTTCAATTATTCATCAACGAATTTAAATAGCATAGATTGTGCATATCGTTCATTTATTTACATAAAGTTATTTACATATGCAACGCCGTCTTAGGCCAAACGGGGGCCCTTGGGCACACAAGAAATTTAGGCCCTGTTGCAAAGTGAATGACAAAAACATTTTTATGTTCATTTTTGTGATCTTATATTTATTATAGATAATTGGTAAAAATCAAATAATATATCATTAATGAGGGAGTGGATGCACCCACGATCCACCAGGGTGGCGCCACTTTACAATAAGGTAAAATATTTGACAGATATCATAGCGGGAACGAAAATTTCTTAGGAAAATGTTAACTTTAATGTTTCTTTCCTAAACTTTCCTTCAAAAAAAAAAACGACATTATTCTATAACAACATCAAAACGTGTATTTTTTTATTTCTTTCATTAAAATTTCGGCTTCACTTATCTAAATGTAAGGATCGTAACGATTATTTGCTATAAAATCTAATATTTGTGGTTGAAAATTATCGTATTAAATAAATCATTTGCCGTTAAATCTTTTGAAGTGTTATTTTTATTAAACAGTACAAAATGATATTTTTATTTCATAGATTATAAATACATAGATTGCCGAAAATTTAAAAAAAGTCCATGCTATAAGTAAGGCGTACTGTACAGCCCGACATAGTCCACAGAGTACTTCATAGACCAAGATTAATTAACACTGGTCACAGAATAAATAATAGTAGGTACTATAAAACCTGATTATACTACCTGGTCTATGTGTACAATACAATAGTATTTTATTTAGGGATGATCGATGTTACAGAAACATCGTTAATGACATGGATGTTGGTATCGATGGCTTAACATCGATGTTCGATGTTTATCCGACTCAAAAGATCGATGTTGCCCATTATCGATGTTTTTGCACATTTACCTATGTAATAGGTTAAAATTGTAAAAATTAGTAATTATGTTTATGGTTTATTACTAAAGAAATAGAAAAAAGTAATAAAAATTTAGTGTCGAACAGTCATTAAAAATTGGATGAAGTTAGCAAATATCTAGTTCATTTGTTGTATTTTTTGCCGATGATGATGAATGTTATTAATTTGATCTATAAATGTTCCTATACAATGATAAATCCGGTCTGAAAAATTTACTTTGGGACCTAATTTAAGATTTAGACGTAGGTTTTATATCAACTACAATCTGATTATATAGAAAAATTAACAAACTAAACAAAAATAAAATAATAGTAATTTTCTGTCACCTTTGTTCACAATATTTAAACTGGCAGCCCGAACAGTAAGTTTCCACAGTCGTTTATAAAATGCACAGTCGAATGCACTCTGCGGTGAAATTGTCTATGCTCAAGATCGCTTAGTCGAAAATCGAAATCATAACCTTCAAGCATAGATTACTGTATATATACTAGAGATAGATGTGCGACTCAAATTTAATTTTAGTTAAAGTTCTTGTTTTGCCTAATAGATGGCGTTAAAATATTGGTGCTTTGGGCTCGCCCTTTTTTTGCACTTTAATATTTTTATTTTATATACAACCACTAATTACATTGCGCAAGTGCTGCAATGTAATTAATAGTTGTTTATATTTCTTGTGGTAATTGTAAGTTCCTATACCAAAAAATAAAAAAACAGGTTATTTTTAAAACGTTTATTGTTTAAAAATTCTTTGCTTAATTATTGAATAAGATGTGTTAAATTTACAACAGTATTTGCACAATATCAATTGATTTCTTTATACAATATCCCTACTAGTTAGTAAATATCTTATATTACAGAGAATAGAACATTTTTTTAAATTAAATATAGATTATTACATAATACTTATTGGAAATCGTGTTTTATTTACCACTGATACCACTGTCCTGGGAAGAACCAACAAGAAACCCAGCGTGACTTTTTTTTAAACATATTTCACTTTACAATATCATTTTTTAAACAAATTTTAATAGTACATACAAGCATGATTGCGATCACCTCATACCCAGGAGTTATTTTATGTATTCTTTGATATTATAATAACACTTTTTGTACATTTTTCTTTTAATAAAACATTTCAAATTGTTAATAGACAAATTTTGAACATTTTCTGAAATTTCGTTGTGAAAGCGTATAATACATTGCCCCATAAAGCACTACTGACTCAGTGGATTCTAGCTTTTACAAGCTTATGTTTGTTCCTAGTGTTTAAAGTTTGAACATCTTTATTCCTATAAAAGCTATTTATAACACTTTTTGTACATTTGTCCTTTAATAAAACATTTCAAGTTGTTAATTGACAAATTTTGTACATTTTCTGCAACCACCAGGACCACCCAGTAGTGTACCAGGAATTTGTGTAGAAAGTACATCTGGTATATGTGACGTGGTTTCAAGTCCTGTTTCTGCATGTAAACCTGTAGTAGTAGTGAAAGTATATGAGTAACACATAACTTTCTTTATTGGACTTGTTTTATTCACTGCTACATACCATATATTATAAATATAATAATGTCCTAGAGACGAAATTTTCTAGTGCCCAAGTGTATGTGCAAGCAATAGTTCATCTCTCTAATGGGACGGTATTTCCTCATGACCGGAAAAAGAGAACACAGGACTAACAGCTTTACGTGCTTTCCAAGGCAAGGGGGTGAAACACAGCCAATTTATTATCTCCAGACTGATGCTGAGAATGTCTTGATAGATATAACCAAAAATGTACCCAAAGATATACCCAAATATAATAAGCGAAAGTAATATGTAAGATTTCTTCATAAATGTTTATTTCATACAGTTCACAATAAACAACAATCCTTCAAGCAAACAATTAACTCGTTATGATAAGCTCAAAAAAGCAGCTAAGTATAATTGAATTGTGTAGATATATACATATTGTTTCAAAATTATGTGGCTATAGACACTTCGATCAACAATACCGACTACATGTCGGGTCGGCGCAATAAATCCGTCCCAGTAAATAAGAGCGCACATGAGACGTGAGCTCTTATTTCATCATTTATTTTCACTTATTTATTTTCACTAAAAAAGATATAATATATTGAATGAGTTGATGTTGTTGTTATGCTGTATGTTAAAACATCGATATTTTAATTTTTAACATCGATGATCATCGAACATCCCTAATTTTATTTTCATTTTTTATTCTAGACAACAAAGGGTATGTTCCGAAATACAACGCAGTGTACTGTCCAATGCAAATGACGTATCATTTGACACTTTATTGTACTAGCATGCCGCCGCCATATTGTGTCGGATATCCGGTCATAATAAAACTGTTTGCCGAATGAAGCATGCCAGAATTTGTTTCTATTTATTCAAATACAAAAAAATTATAGAATGATTGATGATATGTCCAATAGGAGGATATGATGATTTTTGGAGCCCAAAATGACAAAATAATCGCCAACACTTTTCCAAATGGCGCAAAAGTATGACGTCATATCTGTCCAATGTTTTGGAACGAATCACCAGTATTAGCGGTGGGTAGTAGCGGCTTCTTTGAGTAACGAAACGAATCTATCTATCGAATATCAATAGCGGCTTTTGAAACACTCTATTTTAATAGAGGGTTTGGAAACACTCTATTTTAATAGCGGCTTCAATAGAGTGTTTCACGACGTGTTCAATTGCAAAACGTTGCGACCGTTGTTACCGTTTCGTATAGAATTAGACATGGTGTTAATGGTTAAATTTATTTATTTGTTAAATCAGTTCGCACGGTTTGATGAAAATATCACTTCGAAGTACACTGGCATTACTTCGAGACATTTTTGATAACAATCACATAAAGTTTTAGTATTATTTTTACACTTAGTTATTTACACTAATTACTGTACAATTATTATTATCAACACTAATAT